ATTGTTTTACGATTTATTGGTTTAATTTCTCGATCGCAGACCTTCATGTGTTTTGTTAGCCGTAACTTCCCCTTTAAGGGTTTTTCTCTCGGACACAAGGCAAGCCGCCATCAAAGAGCTTTGTTCTGTTATCGCTCTGTGCTAGGGAAGGGCTTGAGCAAATGTTTAACCAGTTAGTCATTACCCAAAGTTCATTATCCTGTGTTTTGCCGCAAATCTATCAGGTTTCCCAGTGTCCTGTGCACTGTATACACGGAGCACAGCCCAGGTGGAGTGATGCAAGCGTTGGGGTCATGAGACAGGTGTCATTGACCTCTCTGTGCTGGGCACCTGTCTCTGTCCCACAGCCCCTGAGTGCTGCTACCAGTACCTTTAAAGCCCTCCCCGCTCTTGCTCCTCCCCACCTCTGAGATCTCCTAAATCCTCATGACAAGCTGCTCAGCGGGCACTGACCTGCTCCACGTCCCCCACCCTGGTCGCTCCACCAGCGGTAGTCAGGCCTTTAAACTTTCTGTCCCCACCCTCTGGAACTCTCTCCCGGAGCCACTCCGCCTCAACCCCCCCACCCCCCGCGCCCCCCCTTGTCTCCTCCTTCCACCCTGTCACAAGACCTTCCTCTTCGACAGCGCCTTTGGTCCTTCCCACTACCAACCCCCCCTTGCCCTCTGCTCCTCTTGATTCCAACCCCCAGCTCGGGTGCAAACCTTCGACTGTCCAGCGTCTTGGGCATCATCGTGACTTGAAAGACCCTGTGCAAATGCAATTTTTTGTTGTTCTTCATGCCCCATGTCAAGACATTGCGCTCACAGCCTAGGCTGACACTCTGGTGCATTGCTAGGGGGAGCACTGTATTGTCAGAGGTACCATCTTTTGGATGAGATGTAAAACTGAGGTCCCGTCTGCCTGTTCAGGTGGATGTTAAAGACCCCATGGCACTATTCGAGAAGGGAGTTTCTCCCGATATCCTAACTTACAGTCCCCCAGATAAAATCGATCACTCAGTTTATGGCTGTTTATGGGCTGTTTATGGTATTGCTGACTGTCTCCCTACAAAATACACAGTCGCAGTAAATCCTATGAAACTTTGTGAGACATCCTTCTGAGGTGAATGGTGCTATATCAAAATGTAAGGATTATTAGTAGTATTATCTGCCTTGTCTTCCTTTTAAGCGTCAGGCAGTGATTCTGCCTGTGTGTTTTATGGGGATACCTTATCACCACGCTCTGCGTGAGGAAATCAGAGAGGCCTTTTCAAAAGACCTTAGCTCATTGCTAAGCTGCAGGGTTTAAAGGCCATATAGGAACTCTCCGCCAGTCAGTCAGTGGCCACTCCCTCGCCCCCCCCCCCACACACACACAGTGAGCGTCAGGCATGGCTGACCTCTGGTTGAGGGGTGGGCTTGGGAGACCCTCATGCTCAGGAACATTCCAGCCTGACAGCTCTGAGCTGCGGGGAGATTAGAGTGTGGGGCAGGAATTCCACTCCTATTAAATCCCCGGTTCGGCCCCAATTCCTTTCCAACAGAAACTGCCTCCCCCCCCCCTTCCCCAGAGCCGCAAATGTAAATAACTCGGGCTGCGGCCCGATAAGGCTTGGCTCAGACACCCAGGAAATAGGCAAAAGAATGCGGGGTCGAGAGTTCACCAGGAAAGTAGGGCCCGGGCTTGGGAATTGCTTCATTGGGAATCGAATGAGTCAAGTTTATACCAACACAGACCCCGACCTCGAGGATGATCTCAGCACAGGGAGAGGGTGCAGCCTGTGACACCCTCAGGCTGTTAAAGGGACCGATTCCGCGGTCATATCCCCGTGACTCGCAGCGCTCTGTGACTTTCAGGAGCCACCGTGCCCGTTTAATAAAGGCTGGCGAAAGCCTTTCTTTTGTAGTTATTTTAGGTTAAAAAACAGGTTTGATTGATCTGAGATTGACATGTCAGTGATGCTGATTAACATGGGAGGGGGAAGGCTGTTATCTTCCCTTCTTGATGGTCTCGCTCTCTTTCTCTCTCTCTCTACATTTACTACGTTTCCCCCCATCGTGATGGGTCTCAGTCTGTGGCTCAGTCACTCGTTCTCATCTCAGGGTCAGGAGGCTGTGAGCTCAAAGTCCCATGTGAGGACTTTGAGCTCATAGTCTAGGCTAACGCTCCAGTGAAGTGCTGGGAGAGCTCTGCAATGTCAGAGGTGGAGTCGTGAAAATTAGACCATGGTGCCATCTGCCTGTTCAGATGGACATTAAAGATCCCGTGGTGCTATTTGAAGAGAAGGGAGTTTCTCTTGGTATCCTGGCCGGCAATCCCCCAAATAAAATTGCTCACTCGCTCCATGGCTTCAAGATCCTCGCTTTCATCCTAAAATCCCCTCCACAGTCTCCACCTGACAGAGGTTGAAGAGGTTGAGGACGATGTGATATAGATTACCTGCCACCTTTGCCTACGCATATGCAATCATGACATTTGACAGTGAAATTAAGTGATAGGTGACCTGTGTTTAAGATTGGTGATGCCACCTGTTGGCCAAAAATCATGCAATCATACAATAATAATCCTTGCGTTTGATATAGTGCCTTATCACACCATTGAGACGTCTCAAAGTGCTTCACAGAATATACTGTAAAATGAATTGGCTGTGTATTTTGTGGGCAACAGCCATATTGCACACAGCGGTGTCCCACAAATAGTCATGGATTGAGCGACCAAACTATTATTGTTATAAATGTTTTGAAGGGACTATTACCCCGCCAATCAACTAACAATCAGGTTCCTACTTACTGCTAGGTAAACAGAGGCATGTGGAGTAAGGAAACTCGCCCCGGCCGGGAATCAAACCCGGGTCCTCTCGCTTGTGAGGTGAGAGCTCTAACCAATAAGCTACAGGGCTCCATTTCAATCTGGATCTTTATCAATGAGGAGTGTGTCTGTGCTGGCATTCCACAGACAGGAAAGTTACATGATACACAAGTTAAATTTACATGAACTGTACAACATGGAAATATTATTTGATCCAGTCCATCCATGCCAGTATTTAACACCGCATGTATAAATGTGAGCGCATCTTACTCCCTCTCGTACCCTTCTTATCCCTGCTCCTTCATGTTGGACATGTGTAGTGACCGATTTCAACAGATGATTAAATTCTTCCGCATCCACCCCCAACCCACAATAAGAGACTGAAAGAATCCTCCTCTGTCTCTCTCATACCCTGAGTAGATGTCCGTGAACATGAAGCAAGTACATTGTAAATCCATCGTATCCACTATAGTGTGGTGCTGTCCCCTGGTGGATAGGCATCGCTTTATGAATGTTTTTGACACTGCCAGTAACTAACTCTGGAAGCAAATGCTCTTTTTCAAAACTGACTCCAATCAAACATCGACTCAGGTCAACTATGGATCAGCCAAGGTTGAATAATTTGACATTCATATAACATTAATAAATAATTGCATTTGATGTAGCACTTTATCACATCGTGAGATGTCTCAAAGCGTTTCACAGGATGTATTGTAAAATGGATTGACTATATTTGGTGGGCGAAATGCGGCAGCCAATTGCGCACAGCAGTGTCCCACAAACAGTCGAGGATTGAGTGACCAACTTGTTATTTTTTTGGAAGGACCATTACCTCCAGAAAGCAATCCACCAATTGGCTAACAACCGGGTTCCCACTTACTGCTATATAAATGGAGGTGTGTGGAGTAAGGAAACTTGCCTAAAGTTTTGCCATGCCCAGGTATCAAACCTGGGACCTCTCTCTTGTGAGGCGAGTGTTCTAATCTATATGCTACAGGACAGAGTGAGTGACCAATTTTACCTGGGGGATTGCTGGCCTTGACACAGGGAGAAACTCCCTTCTCTTTTTTTTAAATAGTGCCATATTCACCTGAACAGGCAGATGGGACCTCAGTTTAATGTCTCATCCGAAGGACAGCACCTCTGACAAAATAACACCCCCCAGCACTGCATTGAACTCAAATTCCCTGATGTTGGGCTTGAACTGAATTGTCTGAATATCTGTCTCAGTCCCTCAGCTATCTCAGTGCAGGCAAGTGTATGCGTGGGAGGTGGAGGGAATTAGCTGGGAGGTACAAGAGAGGGCACCAGCCAGGGGAAGAGGGAAACCATCTCGAGGGCGGGAAAACCCAGCCAGGGAGAGGAGGGCAGCTGAGGGAAGGGACATTTGAGGGAAGGTTCAATTTGATAATTTGCTCTGTTCTCCCCCATCTCAGATTTTAATATAAGACGGTGTGACAGGCTGAAACTGGGTGGAATTCGGAGCCTCCGCAGCCCCACTCGGTGATGGGTGTTTCCCGGCGGATCCCGACATTCCAACTTTTAAGAGAGAAGTAGATGGGTATTTGGGGAGGACAAGATTGCAGGGCTATGGAGAGAAAGCGGGCCAGTGGGATTGAGTTGGATTGCTCTGTTGGATCGCAGACACGATGGGCCGAATGGCCTCTTTCGGTGCTGTATGATTCTATGATTCCCCCTCTCTCTCACTCTCTCCGATGAGCAGGAAACACGGAGCGTCCCTGAGAATAGGAAGGTCAAATCACTGAGAGTAAAATAGAGAGAGAGAGAGAGCGAGAGAGAGAACGTGCGAGAGAGCGAGAGAATGAGATCAGATTAACTCTCTCTCACCGGGGGTGTAATGAGCACAATTTGTGCAGATTGAAGTAAAATACTTCAGTTTTCTGAATAGACAGAGAATCGCCAGGGAGCGCAGATTAATGTGTAAGCATTGACGTGTGCTGGTATTGGGTTTCCAACACCAGAACCTGGGGACAAACCCTCATTGTTGCCCTCACTCAAGGGCCTGGAGCTCGTGCCCAGAGCCTGGCTTTGATGTTAGTGCGGGCAGTGGGATGGGGCAGTGATCAGCCTTTGGTGTGAGGCTGGGGGTGTGCGAGCGGCTCTCCCTCCACCTGTCCACACCTCTTATTACAGGCCGCCTGACACTGGCTGTGTGCCCGGGCCGGTGCTGACAGCAGCCTGGACCAGAGATGTACGTCTGGAACAAGAAACCGGCTTCACACAACACCAGTCTGAGTGTAAGAGGGAGAGAGTAACGTTATAACAATCACTCACACACACGGCATGTCAAGACACTCAGGGTGCGTCGGTCACACTGTGTCACACTCACAGTGTGTGTCGGTCACAGTGTGTCAGTCACAGTGTGTGTCAGTCACACTCCAGTGTGTGTCAGTGTGTCTCGGTCAGTGTGTCTCGATCACAGTGTGTCTCAGTCACAGTGTATTAATCAATGTATCAGGCACAATGTGTCAGCCATTATATAATACACACTGCAGTGTAAGAGCCTCCTTGACAGTGGGGAGGTAAGCGAGGTCTCCTCAGGGCTGAACTGGCTCCAAGGTGACATGTTTAGCAATGGAATTTCAGAATCGAGCCAGCCCTTGTGGCGGTCTCAGTTCCTGAGGCAGGCGGCCCATACTACTCAAGGGCACTGCTGATGGCTCATCGTAAATATCACTGCTGATAGGCATGACATAGGAGGGCAGACCAGTCACAGGGGCAAGGAATCGTCCCACTCAGCTCCTGTTAACCCTGCAAGCCAAAGCCCGAACAGGTAGGGTGGTCCTGGCTGGACAAGAAGCAGGAAAGTTTGCCACACGGCGATATCAATGGCATGATATGCAGTTTTAGCTGGTTAAAATCCAGCACACTCTGGGATCCTCAAGCCTTGGTTCTTGCCAACCTATGCCTAATACTTTCTGGAATTAGGTAAGCAGGATACGTTCCCCCCAGGGAGAGAGTGCACATTCCATTCCATCTATCTCTGGAATTTCCACGTGTAGGTGGGATGCATGGAATTCTTGGTTCGGATACTCTGAGGCACTGTGATGGGTTTCCGCACGTGTCAGACAGCCAGCAGACCAAAATAATTAGAGCCAGTCACACAGAGTGTGCTATGATATAACACACACTGCAGTGTTGGAGTCAGTAATTATGGAATGGAGGTGGTGTGGGCCTGAGCTGCGTAGAGCTGGGAAGGATTTGGCAGTGGCTTGTTCTCTGATGGAGAGATTGCCTATCTGAGGCCTGACCTGTGCCCAAACCACAACCTGGTGATATGTCTGAGCTGAAAATCTGTTTGAAGTTTTGCATGAATGGAGCCATTGTGTCTTTGCTTTGTTGTGTGGTGGTGAAATCTGCTGGAGGTGCAGATAAATAGGCTGCAGGTGTCCACGCCAGACACACTGGGCGGCACACACTGACCGAGGTGCTGAGGATCAGGCACAGCGCTCAGAATCCAGCTCTCCCTGCGGGAATATCGGCAGCAAAGAATCCAAGTCCAGACCCAGGAATTCTGCATCCGCACTGGGCATTCCAGCCTATCGATTAAGACCCTCACCAACAATCGGGACCCTCAAGCTGTACAGAATGGTAAGCCGTACCCCCTCCTTCCCCACCTTTCTCTTCCACTGTGCTTACTGTTACCTTCCATAAGACGTAGGAGCAGGAGTAGGCCATTCGGCCCCTCGAGCCTGCCCCACCATTTAATAAGATCATGGCTGATCTTCTAACCTAATTCCATTTACCCGCCCTATCCCAATATCCCTTAATCCCTCTATCCTTTAGAAATCTATCAACCTCAGTCTTGAATATCAGTCTTCCCCTGGCTTAGCATCGTGTCACGCTCTCTGGGACTCTACCCGGTGTGACGGGCACTATACAAATGCAAGTTGTTGTTGCAAGATTCATTTATATAAAGCCTTAGAATTCCCAATGTCTCAACTTGCTTCACACTTGCTGTGTAGAGCGGTGACTGTATTTATAGGCAAAACGCAGTAGCCAATTTACGCAAAGAAAATGTCCCACAAACTACCAAGGAGCGAGTGACCAATTTTATTTGGGGGATTGTTGGCAGGACACCGGGAAAGAGAAACTCCCTTCTCTTTTCCAAAAGTGCCATTGGATTTTTAATGTCCACCTCAACAGGCAGACGGGACCTCAGTTTAACGTCTCACCTGTAGGGCGGTACCACGGGTTGAGCTGGGGGTGATACACGACTTAATAGTATCAGGTGACCTGAGACCGGGCGATGGGGACAGCACAAAACAGCTCAGTCCACCGCATTGCCCCATCATCACACTGTCTATTCAGTTCTCCCATGTCAGCCACAGCAAAGCTACTAACCTGTTTGACAGTTGCACAGACCGGTTGGTCACCTCAATGTTAATGTTTTTCAACCTCCAGGTGCTGGGGGCAGGAACCCTACAGCCCTCTGTCCTGTTGGTGTATCTCAGCTCCACCGTCTCATTGGCACAAATGCTCCCGACACAACCAGGTAACAATGACAACACATTGCTGGCTCTTCTCTCCGGGTCTCTGGTCCACCCGGCTTCCTACCCTTCCTGGTGTCTTCTCTCTCCAGCTCTGCTCTCTTCTCTCTCCAACTATTCTCCCTCTCTCCAGGGCTTCCGACTGGAAGGTCCCCCCCTCTCTCTCTCTCTCTCCAGGTCTCTCTCTTCCCCAGGTCGCTTTCTCTCCAGCCTGGAGTTCTGTAGACCCGCCTCACTCAGGAGCCAGACAACTGAAACCACCACTCGACTGAGCCAGTCGTTCTGTCACAAGCCAAAGCTGAGGCAGTGGCCACACACCATGGCAGGTGTTTGAGGAAGAGGAGCAGTGTTAGAGGGTGTGAGTGGGGGAGGTGGGGAAAAGAAATCACCAAGGTGGACTCAAAGGGCCAGGCGATCTGTTTCTGTGCTGGAACATTGTGTGATTGTCTAAGTTACTTCCGGTAATTTAGAAATAATTCTCTGTTGTTTCTTTTCTTGAACCATTGCTTGTGTGATTGAGGGTTGGAGGTTCCTCAAGGGAGGCAGTTTGTCAGTGAGGCCCTCCGACAGGCAACGCACCTCCTCAACGCCGCGTACAAGAGGTCTGGAGAGCGGTAAGAGGTGACAGGCTGACAACCACAGCATCAAAATAAACAACTAGCCAGCTGACCAATTAACTAGCCAACTAACTAATAAAATGGCCACCTGACTATTTAACAACCAACCGACCAATTAAGTAGCCAACCAACAAGCCAAACAATCAACTAACTATCCAACTGATCAACCAACTGGACAATTAATTATTTGATTGACCAGTGAACTATCTCAACAAATGATCTAATTGTCTCAATGCAGTCAATTCACTTACAGTATATCCTGTGAAGCGCTTTGAGACGTCTTGAATACATGATGAGGCGCTATATCAAATGCAAGGATTATTATTATTAACTGAACTAACTAACTCTCCAACTAATATATTAGCTACGAAGAAATCAACAAACCAATCAACTAGCAAAACAACTAACCAACTGAATAACTAGTCAACAAACTAGATAACTAGCCAACTAATCAACTAACTAGTCAATTAACCATCGAGCCATTCCTAGCATCTGCTAATCGATGCCTGGCGAGCGGATGTGATGCCCTGCTGTGCGCCCGTGTTTCGCAGGAGTGACGCTGTGTTGGCCATGGGCTCGGCCTCAGCCAGTGACCTGCTCAGCTTCTTCAAGGAGCCGGAGCCCGAGACCCGGAGCGCGGTGCGAGCGGCCGAGCTGACCGAGACCACCATCGAACTCATCCGCCAGATGGTCTACACCCAGGACAAGGTTGACCGCAACAGCACCGGTACCCGCCGTCCTCCACGGAGATCACAGGGGGGGGCAGAACCTCAGTGGGGGGGGAAGGGGTCACACAACTGGGGGCAGGGAATCTTCCCACTCAGCTCCTGTTAACCCTGCAAGCCAAAACCCTAATGGGTGGGGTGGTCCTAGATGGACAAGCAGCGGGAAAGCTTACCAGACAGCAATATCAATGACAAGCTTTGGGTTTTTCGCTGGTTAGACTCCGGCAGTTACCGCAATGCACACTCTGGGGTCCCCCAAGCCTTGGCTCTTGCCAACCTGCGCATAATACTTTCCGGAATTTGGTAAGCAGGATGCATCTCTCCAGGGAGAGAGGGGGCACATTCCATTCCAACAATCTATCTCTGGGATTTCCATGTGTAGGTGGGATGCATGGAATTCATAGCTTGGTTTGGAGACTCTTAAGTACAGTGATGGTCAGACCCCGGAATGGGAAGGGAGGTTACATGTTGGCTCAGTGCTGGTTCTCTCACTCTCCACCCGCACAGAGCTGCTGGGAGCCCAGGAGCTACAGACTCTAGCCCAGGCCACGGGCTGCACGGCTCAGCTACAGATGGTGAGCTGTTCCTCGTCCTGTTTAATGAACAAATACAGAAGCGTCACCGGAGTCTGCAACAACAGGTACTGAGCCACGCTCACTCACCCCGGCCAGAGGGAGAGAGAGATACACACACACAAGAGAGACAGAGGTGTGAGAGAAAGTAAAACGTGTGAGAGAGAGTGAGAAAGAGAGAGAGACATGCGAGAGAGATATGACAGTGAGAGTGAATGAGAGAGAGGGTGAGAGAGCGAGACTCGAGAGAAAGTCGTGACAGAGATACACACATAGACACACACACCCAGAGGAGCAACAGAGAGAGGGAGAGAGTTGACAGAGTCGTGACAGAGAGCGAGAGAAACATGAAACAGAGAGCAAGGACACAGAGAGAGACACAGGAGCAAGCGAGAAAGAGGGAGAGAAAGAGAGGCAAGTGGGGTGGTAAATAAGCCCTTGGGAAGGGCTGAGCAGGGCTGGTTCCCGGCGCCAGGATCAGGTGTGTGCGTTCCCCACAGGCAGCACCCAGCCTGGGGGGCCGCCAACACCGTATACTCCCGCTGGCTCCCCGCAGAGTACGAGGATGGCTTTCTGCTGCCCAAAGGCTGGGACGATGCGAAGAAACATAACGGCTTCTCATTACCGCTGGTGGGTAAGAACGTGCCCACAGCACCTCCACACCTCTCACTGCCCGTCACACTAATCACTAGTGTAGTATCTGCCTGTGGGCAGCTGTGATCAATCAACATTAACAATAATCCTTGTGTTTTGTTATCACACCTATAACATAGAAATATCTCAAAGCACTTTGCACGGAAAGGCTGTAAAGTGTAGTGACTGTGTACTTTGTAGGCAGACGCAACAGCTAATTTGTGCACAGTAGTGTCCCACAAACAGCCATGGAGTGAGTGATCAATTTTATCTGGGAAATTGTCAGCCAGGACACTGGGAGAGAGAAACTCCCTTCTCTTTTGCAATAGTGCCTTGGGATGCTTAACGTCCACCTGAACAGGCAGATGGGTCTCAGGTTGTCTCATCTAAAGGACGGCATCTCCGACAATGCAACCCTCCCCCAACACTCCACAGGAGCATCAGCCTAGACTTGCAGGTTGAGCCTATAATGGGTGTGTGAGGAGGGGGGCAGCTGGTGTTGTGAGGACCTCTTACATTCTGTGTGTTTCTTCCAGGCAAGGACGGTCTCGACTGCCATCTTGTACACCTGTAACGAGAACATCTCTCTGGACGGCCGGTACTCACACATGCTGGTGGAGTGGGGGCAGTGGATTGACCACGACATGGACCTGACCCCGCAGAGCGCGAGCACCACTTCCTTCCTCGACGGCAGAGATTGCTCCACCTCCTGCCACAACAGGAGCCCCTGCTTCCCCATACAGGTGTGTTTTACTCACAGGTGTGCCTCACCATATGGCTGTGCTTCCTCTACAGACGGATTATACAGATGGACTGTCCCCATACAGGTGGGCTTCCCTGTACTGATAGGCCATCTGTCCTGCTTACAGTGAGGCAAAGAGACAGATTCCCAAAGAGACAGGTCAGGGTCTGGGATTGTCCTGATGGGCAGAACCTAACCCAATAACAGAGGCATGAAATATTTGCTCAGTGAGAGCAAGGTGGAAGGAACTGAACTCAGATATAATTCAACCAGACTTTTAATTGTCAGCCTGGCTCAGTCACTTGCACAGTTGGAGTGTGATCCTGGACTGTGTGAATTCAAAGTGCCGATCAGAACCCATCCTTCGGATGAGACGTTAAACCGACGTTCCTACTGCCTGTTCAGGCGGACGTCAAAGATCCCACGCCACATGTTCGAAAAGAGAAGGGAGTTTCTCTCTCCCAGTGTCCTGGTCAACAATTCCCCCCAAAAATTGGTCACTCCGTGGCTGTTTGTGGGACCCTGCTGTGCACAACTGGTTGCTGGATTTCGCCAATAAAATACAGTCACTACACTTTACAGTATATCTTGCGAAGCGCTTTGAGACATCTCAACGGCGTGATAAGTTACTATATCAAATGCAAGGATTATTATTATTATTATTTCTGACTGAGACTGAGCCAGGCCGCACTCAGTGTGGCCGGACATGAAGTACAACCTGGGGGATGTTTGGCTGAGCCGCGTGTATTCCATATCCTGATGACAGTTTCTCCACAGATCCCAGTGGGTGACCCGCGAGGTTGCGGGGAGGAGCAGGCGTGTATGCCTTTCTTCCGCTCGGCCCCGGGGTGCAGCGGGGGGCTGGGGCCCCGGGAGCAGCTGAACAGCATCACCTCCTTCGTAGACGCCAGCATGGTGTACGGCAGCAGCCAGCCGCTAGCTCGCAGCCTCCGCAACCTGTCCAGCCCGCTGGGCCTGCTGGCCACCAACCAGGACCACAGCGACCACGGCCGGCCACACCTCCCCTTCATAAGAAACAGGCCTGTCAATCCCTGCGCCATGACCAAAAACCACTCTCAGGCCACCAACCAGTCTGACATCGCCTGCTTCCAGGCAGGTAGGTCCAGCGCACTTGCTCTCACAGCTTAGCTGATAACAGGTGGGTTGGGGTGGGTGGGTGGATAACCAAAAGCACGGTCACAATTGATAGATGTCAGCCACCAGCTGTGAGCTGAGGTCCTGCCCACAGCTCGAATCCACCACCCTATGAGCTCGCGGTGAGCAGGCAGTGAGAGACGCGACTCTTTCCCTCCGCAGGAGACTCCCGAGTCAACGAGCACCTAGGGATGACCGTGCTGCACACTATCTTCTTACGGGAGCACAACCGCGTGGCCTCCGAACTACACCGACTGAATCCCCACTGGAGCGGCGAAACCCTGTACCAGGAGAGCCGCAAGATCATTGGGGCCTATCACCAGGTGAGAGCCCTGCACAGGGGCTGTTCCTTCCTCGGTCACACTTACAACTCGATTCACAGAGAAACTTATGGCACACGATGAGGCCATTCAACAACAACAAACAAAAAATTTTGATCGCTCAGTCCACGACTGTTTGTGAGACGCCGCTGTGTGCAATTGGCTGCCGTGTTTCACGCACAGAATCCACTTTATAGTATACCCTGTGAAGCGCTTTGAGATGCTTCAATGACGATTAGGAGATGACAGTCTTTTGTCGTAAAGAGGGAAAGTAGGGGGCAAGCTGGTGGGATTGAAGGCGAGAGTTCCAAAGCTTTGGGGCGTAGTGGCTGAAAGCACGGCCGCTGATGGTGGAGCGGAGAGGACGAGGGACAAACAGGAGACTGGAGCCAGCCGAGCGGAGACAGGTGGGGAGTAAGCTGGTCTGAGAGGTAGGGAGGTGCCAGGGCATGAAATGATTTGCTAGATGAGCGTGAGGATCTTGAAATCGTTCTGTGATAGGGAACCCGTGGAGCCTGGCGAGGAACTGGGGTGATGAGGTAAATAACCATCTCGTTTACGCAGGTGATTAACTGGAAAGACTACATTCCTAAGATCCTGGGACCGGAGGCCACCGAGGAGCACCTACCGGGCTACACCGGCTACCGGGACACAGCCGATCCCCGCATCTCCAACGTGTTCGCCACGGCTGCCTTCCGCTTCGCCCATGTCACCATCCACCCCGTCCTGTTCCGCCTGGACCAGAACTACTCGGAGAGCCCCGACTACCCCAGCGTCTCGCTACACAAGTCCTTCTTCTCCCCCTGGAGAATCATACAGGAAGGTGAGGCCAGCGCAAAGCGGAGCAGGCCAAAGCTCAGCAGTTTCCAACCTGGCTCAGCAGTAGCGCTCTCGTCTCGGAGTCAGAAGGTTGTGCACCTACAACTCATCAGGTCTAAGTGCTGGTGGGGGGGGGGTTTCATTGTCGGAGGTGTCGTCCTTCAGGTGAGATGTTAAACAGAGGTCCCGTCTGCCTGTTCTTGTGGATGTTAAAGATCCCATGTCACTATTCGAAAAGAGAAGGGACTTTCTCTCTCCAGGTGTCCTGGCTAATAATTCCCCAGATAAAATCAGTCACTCCATCCACAGCTGTTTGCGGGGACTCTGCTGTGCGCAATCAGCTGCCGTGTTTTGCCCACAAAGTACAGTCACTGCACTTTACACTATATCTAGTGAAGCGCTTTGAGACGTCTCAACAACGTGATAAGGCGCTACTATATCAGATGCAAGGGGATTACTATTGTTACCCCAGCTCCGCGCCGTAACCCAGCCCGTGACCTGTGACCTGCAGGGGGAATCGACCCCATTCTCCGCGGAGTGATCCTGAAGTCGGCCAAGCTGCAGACACAAACACAGATGATGCCGGCGGAGCTGACCGAGCGCCTCTTTCAGCCCGAGGAGTCGCTGGCGCTCGACCTGGCTTCCCTCAACCTGCAGCGAGGCCGCGACCACGGGCTGCCCGGTGAGTAACACACGCAACCGCCAGGACACACGTGACCGTCAACACGCCACGGCCAGGACACAGGTAGGTGACTGTAACACACTTGGGATGGTACCCGTGTGACTGTCACATGTCTGGGCTGGGACACACTGGCCACTTACGGTGAGTTCTATAAGCACTGGCTCGTCTTTCGCTTCCCGTTCCGGTTTCAATATGTCTGGATTTGGAGCCGCCAGTCCAGGCTGACACCCCAGGGCAGGGCAGGGGGCTGACACCCCAGGGCAGGGCAGGGGGAGCATTGCATTGCCGGAGATGCAGGCCCTTCGACCTGCGATATTGGGAAAGAGAAGGGAGTTACTCCCGGTGTCCTGGCCGACAATCTCTTGTCAGATAATCGTTCCACCTCCGGGGTGGGGCCATGGGGTGTGGGTTGGTGTGGATTAGCATGTGCTGTGCGTGTCTGGGGGGACTGTGTAACAGCGCTGGGAGAGTGTGCTGTGCTGGGAGTGACAACAACAACTTGTATTTATACAGCGCCCTTCAGATCGGGTAACGAATAGGAGCGCTTTTATGACGAGAGAGGGCTTTAATACTGGGAGTGAGGGAGGGGATGGGAGTGAGGGAAGGGGTGGGAGTGATGCTGAGAGTGAGGGAGGGGCTGGGAATGAGGGAGGAGTTGGGAGTGATGGAAGGGCTGGGAGTGAGGGAGGGGCTGGGATTGTGGGGCTGGGAGTGAGGGACTGTGTTTCTCCCCAGGTTACGGAGCCTGGAGACGGTTCTGTGGGCTGCAGGAGCCCAGAAGTCTCTCGGATCTGGAGCTGGTGCTGAACAGCACGTACCTGGCCACTAAGTTGCTGTCCGTGTACCAGACCCCAGGGAACGTGGATGTGTGGATCGGGGCCATCGCAGAGCCTCTGCTCCCCGGGGCCCGCGTGGGACCACTCCTCGCCTGTCTGCTCGGCCGGCAATTCAGGGCCTTACGAGACGGAGACAGGTAAAGCCACTCGGTTACTGTCACTCTCACCCTGAGCCGGGCTGATGGAATTCGGTTTCTGTTGCAGATTCTGGTGGGAGAACGACGGGGTGTTCACCAGGCGGCAGAGAGAGGAACTCCGCAAAGTCACTCTGTCCAGGATCGTCTGTGACAACACCGGGATCGGACGGATTCCCGTGGACGTGTTCTCCCTGAACCACTATCCCCGGGACTTTGTGCCGTGTGACAGCCCGGACCTGCCCAGCCTCAACCTCAGTGCCTGGAGAGAGGAGCTGACAGGTAACGGCACGGCAGCCTTGCCCACACCCACATCAACAACAACAACTGGCATTTACACAGCGGCCTTCACACAGGGGAAGAGAGTCTTGGAGCACTTAACAGCGCGGAGCCTGACACCGAATTGGGGGAAGGTGACTGTCGGTACGGGCAAAGAGGAATGTCTTCAGGCGTTTTCTGAAAATGGGGAAGAAGGGGTACGAGAAGGAAGGATTTAGGCTGAGAGTTCCAAGGCTTCAAGGCCTAGTGGCTGAAAGTGCGGCTGCTGATGGTGGAGCGGAGGGGACCAGGGATAAGCAGGAGGCCGGAGCCAGCTGAGTGGAGGCGGCAAGTAGTGGATGGGGGAGTAAGCAGGGCAGAGAGTAGGGAGGTCCAGGGCAAGAAGGGATTTGTAGACAATGTGTGTGTGACGCCGATGCGTGACTATGTTCCTCCCGTCTCCACAGGTACTCTGTGTGGGCCGGTCCCCAGAGTGCCCCGGGCTCACCTCTTCCTGTGCGGAGACACCGTCCATTTCCAGTGTCACTCCGGCCTCCGGCTGCTCGGCTCAGCCTTCATCACCTGTAACTCCACCACCAGGGCCTGGAGTTCCCCTGCCCCCACCTGCCGAGGTACACACACCCCCGTACCCACCCCGCAATCTCTCCTCCCCAACCCCTCCCTCCCCAATATCCCCCCTCCCCAACACCCCTCTGCCCCCTCACAGACTGTCTATCCAGATCCCCCGACACACAGCCTGTCTCTCACTGTACACCTTCTCACTCTATCCCACAGAGGTTGTGTCTAAGAGCCTGATCCCTCTGATCAGCACCGGGGTCACCGTGTGTGGATTTGTCATCTCGACAGCTCTCCTCATCACAGGACTCAGGTGAGTTCGCTTCACTGATCCCTGAGATCACACACTGGACCTGAGATCACACACTAAGAATATCTTGTCTTCTGTTTCTGTTTAGATATCATTGGAGGTACAAGGGGAAGGGATGCCAGGTGGGGCTGTGTGTCAGACTGTTCTCCAGGAGCGGGGGAGAGGGCCGGGGTCACCGTGCAGAGGAGATCCCTGGCCCCGTGGCCTTGTCCACATGACACAGCACCTCCTGCCTCTGCCCTGGACCTTTCCTTCCGCCTCTCCATGCCAACGATGCCCACTCTCACCCACTTACTGCTCATTCCAGATATTCCCACTTGCCTGACTGGCTCCCACCTCTCCGCTATCTTCTGCGGTGCTTGAAGATGGAAACGGAAATTCTAGAAAGTTGCGGCACAGACACGGGTCAGTGGTTAGTTTCGGCACTTCTGGCCTTTTGTGGCATTTGTCCACAGGAGCGTCCGGCTTAATCCTGAGTGAAGTTCATGACCTTTGGCCTAAAGCTCCCGTATCTCCTCCTCTCACCTCTGCCAGTGTCCAGACACCACAATCACCCAATAATTGCTGTAATGGAGGAAACAAGACGCTGTCCAATATGAGGATATCTGTGACCTCAGTACTAATCTCACTGTGACATTCCCGTTCTCTGACCTCATACTGTTATTTCTTGTTGGGATGAGATCGCTGCCCTCACACATTGTTCGAGGAGCGAGTTTAGAGGGGGCACCAGGAAGTATTCCCTTACACAGAGAGGGACCGGACACATGGATGGGGCGACCAGGAAGGGTGTCTGGAACCGGATGGTGGATCAAGAAATAGCTCCATACTGCACCGGTGTTGTTAGACAGGCCTTCATCATCCAAACCGTTCATCTTATCCACTCCCTGAGCTGCTGTTACATACAATTTACGGAGAATTCACATCGATATTCAGTCTTGCTGTCTGTCCTGCTGCCGTTTTATCATGTATAAATTCCAATAAAATATCACACGGCAAACCTTAGTCTGACTCATCACAACCTGTCAATATTACAACTCAACAAATCCACGTGTATTCCCGACCCTCTGCAATTCCCTACCTCAATCCCTCCACCTTGCCCATCTTTACATCTCACCTGAAGACTTTCCTCTTCGACCGTGCTTACGTTCACCTCCCCTCTCACCGCCTCAGCATCGCTGTTTAGCACTGTTTAGCTCCGAGATGCCTTTCTCAAACGCTCTCCTCGCCGGTCTCCCCAGGTCCACCACCTACAAACCCCAGCTCAGCCAGAACTCCACGTCATCTTCACCAAACTCCACACACCCGTCACCCTTTCCTCACCAGGCTCCTCTCTCTAAGTCTCCTAACTGATCCATTTCTCGGTCCTCACCCTCACTGCAAATCTCATCACATCCTAACCCCTGCTTTGCTGTAGCTGACTACACTCCTGTGGACTACTGGACTTGATGCACATCCCCCGCCCTCTCAGCAACATTCACCATCAGTGGCCGAGCATTCAGTCACTACACCCCTAACCTCTGGTACTCCCTTCCTCTACTCCTCCATGTCACCCCTTCTCTATCGGTCTTTAAATCCATCTGCCAGCCCACCTCTTGAACCTGTTCCTTGCTCAGCATTGAACACCAACTCTGTATAGTGCTGTGTTATCTTTTATGATTGACGTGATATAATTATGAGCTCTATATATATATCTATATATATATATATATAAAACCAACCCCCAAACCCCTCGTTCAGGCACTAGCCGGTGGTTATTATAATAAAATGTGCTTTTATTCACTAGAAATGAGCGGTCAGTCTTAGTAATGTAGTATACAATGTAGAAATGTATTTGAGACAAAGGCAGATAGACAGCCCTGGCCAGCGGTCTAAAGCCTCCCTCTCACAAGAAGCGGTCCGTTCCCGTGAAACGTTCCATTGAAATAATAAAACAGGCGACATGCAGCTTAAAGAGGCCTTAACTTCAGGAAAAGTGAGGCAGGGGCAGGGTGATTTTGCCGCAGTTTGTCACCAGTGAGGACAACTGGACATTTCATGTGTTAATTACAAAACAAACTTAGATACCTTGGGCACAGTTAGCCCCCGTGGGCAATTAGCTCAAGTGGCACTTTAGAGCCCAGTTGGTTGCCAAACACTTTACCTGTGAAAAGTCTCTGATAATGTATAAAAATGAGGACTCACTCGCACACTCAGCCGCTCACGCGCACACTCGCTCACTGTTTACAGGGTTAATACTAACAGGAATAGATTGAAGGTTACACATCAAGATATTTTATAGTCAAAGATTAAATGGTAAAACACTGGCTCCCAGTTTCCTTTTCTCCAGGATCCTGCATGGGGAAGAGGAATGTTCTGGGATTTCAGGAGTGTGAAGGAGGGGGAGGGTGGGGGTGGCGGGGAGGGGGTGGTGGAGAGGTTTTCCCAGGAATACTTATTGCTCTGAGGTGATGTGGTGCCGGGCTCCATAATTCTTGGGGTGTGTAACTCCTCTCCGATCATTCCTCACATGTCCGGAATTTCGATGTCAGGAAGGGCAACCCGGCCACACAGCCATTTCCTCCAGGTCCAAATCTCTATGAACACTGTGTGTGTGTGTGTGTGTGTAAGGGGGGCTGGCACTGTGTGTGTGTATAGGGGGGGCTGGCACTGTGTGTGTGTATGTGGGGGGGGGCGCTGGCACTATGTGGGGGGGAAGCTGGCACTGTGTGTGTATAGGGGGGTTGGCACTGTGTGTGTGTGTGTATATAAGGGGGGCTGGTACTGTGTGTGTGTATAGGGGGGGCTGGCACTGTGTGTGTGTGTATAGGGGGGGCTGGCACTGTGTGTGTGTGTATAGGGGGGGGCTGGCACTGTGTGTGTGTGTAGTGGAGGGCGCTGACACTGTGTGGGGGGAAAGCTGGCACTGTGTGGGGGGGGAGCTGGCACTGTGTGTGTAGGGGGGTTGGCACTGTGTGTGTGTATAGGGGGGTTGGTACTGTGTGTGTGTATAGTGGGGGCTGGCACTATGTGTGTGTGTAGTGGGGGGCGCTGACACTATGTGGGGAGGGAAGCTGGCAATGTGTTGGTGGGGGGGGCGGGCAGCGAAAGGGACAAGAGATTCTCTAAACCTCCTCTGTGAAGTGGCCCAGTTTGGCCACAGCCATCTCCTTCCTCAGCTTCATCACCTCCCAGAACATCTGCTCGACTGAGAGAGAGGAGAGAGCGTCAGCCTGACACCGTACCATCTCACACCCCCACCCGCCCCCAACACCCCACCACCCCGGCCTCACCACCACCCCCACCCCACCACTCTCGCCCATCAACCTCTTCCCTCAGTCCCGTCCCCTTGCACTCAGTCCGCTCCCCCCGCCCTCATGTCCTTCCCCCACCACCAGAAACCCTTCCCACCCCCCCGCCCCCCGCAGTCTCACCTTCTTGACGGACCAGGCCTTGCTGGATGTACCGGATGTAGGTGAAGAAGTTGCAAACGGCGGTGATCTGATAACGATAAAGAAACCGAGGGAGAGAGCGAGAGAGAGGGTCAAACACCGAGTCCCACCTCTCCCGCCATATTGCCCCGTCACCACCCCCCCACCCCTCGCGCCTGCCCACACAGGCACCGTGTACCCTCAGCCGCGACCCCACCCCCTCGCCGCCCCCGGCAGCAAGTCGGTAACGCTGTAAGCGGCGTGCGAGGAGTCTCCTACCCTGGACCTGCAGGACGGTGACACGTACAAGTAATTCTCTGCGTCGCCCAGCGTGAGGCGGTGTTTGCACGCTCGGGAGCGGCCGCTGAGAGCACACTGTCTGCGAGAGAGAGAGAGAGTGTGTGAGAGAGAGATTAGAGACACGTAGAGGATGAGAGACAGACAGAGGGTGAGAGAGAAAACACACACACACACACACACACAGGGTGAGAGAGGCTTTGAAACACAAATTCACATTGATGCGCCAAAATACATCCACAGGAATGACAGGAATGTCGTCCTAATGACGGAAAATATTCCCACAATCTGCAATTGCTGAGGAACGCCAAGGGCAGCAACTCAACACTGCACGCACCCTCCCCCCGCCCCACACACAAAATACACACAAAGGCCCCCACCCACCCAAAAAAAAAACACACGCACTTGTGACAATACCGCCCAACCGAGGGCCTGCACACACACGCTCCCCTCACACACAGGCGTGCTCTCCCTCTCCCCCCCACACACACACAGACCAATAGACACACCATACAGTTCAAGCGGGGAAGGAGTGAGGGGGAAGAGGAGCGGGTGGCGGTGGGGGGGGGGTCGGTGGGGGGAATCCCGCTATTACCTTAAGTCTGTGGCCGCCTGTAGAGAGGGGCTGACGAGGGGCTCAATACTCAGTGTGTTCATCTCCACCGCAGCCTGGACAGCCTCCGTCAGCTTAGAGAGAGAGAGCGTGTGAGAGATAGAGCGTGTGATATTGACATCCACACAACCCCACACACACACACAAGCCCTCGCTGCTGGTGCTCCCCCAACACCCCCCCACCTCCGGCGGCCCCTCACCTGGGGGTTGCTGAAGGACAGGCAGGGGGTGATGTCCTCGCGATAGATTCTCTCCAGGAAAGGGCAGCCCCTGGCCAGGCTCGGGGCCTCCCGCCACGACTGGAACTCCTCCAGCAACACAGCGTCCATCTGCAGGGGACAGGGGGCAATGTCAGCCATCAGGGGGCAACGTCAGCCATCAGGGGGTCGCAGAATCAGTCAACCTCCCACCCCGACTGGCTGCCTATAAAAACACACAGTCACTACACTTCACAGTAACTACTTGAGCAGGCTCCGAGGCATGTTAGAGCTTATAAGTCAGTTATAGATGCTGATTATTATTCAGGAGGAATTTTTGAGCAGCAAATCCCAAGAGACGCCTATGTTTTGTGCAGAGAGCGAAGGAGGACTGGGGTGGCCTGGGGAGCAGGCGAGCGGAGAGCGGATCTAGCGGAGGGGAGAGCGTACCTGGCGGAGAGGAGAGAGCGAGGACCTGCCCAGGAGACGGCAGGGCTCAGGGGTGACATAGACAGCTCTGGCCGGCACGATGCAGAGAAGCAGAGAGAGGAGAGTGGGAACATCAGCCTCCGAGAGCAGAGAGCACGCAGAGATCAGTGTTAGTGTTAAGAGACACAGACACACAGCGAGGACACCCACCCCAGCAACACACCACGGAAAAGATTACACAGCGACGCACACAGCACAGTTACGCTGCACTGCTTAGCAAAGGCAGAGCTAAAACCATGCTTAAGAGTATCCAAACCAATCTGAGCATTCCAATCATCCCACCAACACACGGAAATCCCAGAGATAGGTTACTGGAATAGAAATGTGGACTCCCTCCCTGGAGGGACAGACCTGCTTACCTAATTCCAGAAAGTATTAGGTGCAGGTTGACAAGAGCCAAGACTCGGGGACCCCAGAGTGTGCGTTGGGGTAACTGCTGAACTGAGTCTAACCAGCTAAAACCACATAGCTTGAGACCACATAGCTAACCGTAAGTGCCATTGAGAGCACAGCCCGGCAGGCTTTCCCACTGCTTATCCAGCTAGGACCACCTTACCCGTTAGGGCTTTGGCTGCAGGGTTAACAGGAGCTGAGTGGGAGGATTCCCTGCCCCCGGGGACTGGTCTGCCCTTTCAAGTCCAGCCAATGACCCAGGCTGTGCTGTCATCAGCAGTGCTCTGGAATACTGTGGACCCGCCTGGCTCAGGAACCGGGCGAGAGACCATCACGGAGGGGTGGGGGTTGGGGGGTGCACTGCTGAGTAACTTACCTCTCTACTCTCCTTGCTAACGGGCTGGAGTGGGGTGGGGGGGCCGGGGGGCAGTGCACTGCTCGTGCTCCGGTGTCGCCCGTGGCCCTTGCGGAAGACGGGGCGCCCCACCGGCTGGAGCTGAGGGTGCAGCTCCCGGTTGGGGGAGGACGGGGTGGAGGTGAGCACCAGTGTCTTCAGAGCATTAACCTCGGCCAACAACACGTCAATCTGTGTGTGTAACAGAGCAGCACATCAATCTGTGTGTGTGAGAGAAAGAAAGAGAGCGAGAGCACAAGAGAGAGGACGCAAGAGAGATAGCAAGCCTGAAAATGTGTGACAGAGAGACAGACAGACAGACAGACAGAGACAGAGCGAGAGAGAGAATGTGTGACAGAGACAGACAGAGAGATAGACAGAACGAGAGAGAGAGTGTGTGACGGAGAGACAGAACAAGAGAGAAAATGTGTGACGGAGAGACAGAACAAGAGAGAGAATGTTTGACGGAGAGACAGAGGGAGCGCGTACGCACCTTGCCCTGGGCCTCTCTCAACTGTTTCTCAGCCACGACCTGTTTTGTATTCGCTTCTCGCACCATCTTATGCGCTTCCTGTCAAGAGGAGAATAGACACCGGCTAAATACAGGCCGACACACTGGGTACGAGTGCGGGGGGATGAGTGTGGGCGGCAGGGAGGGGTTTGGGGCCCGGAGTCGAGTTGTACCTCAAAGAGACTGGCCGTCAGCTCCTCCAGCTCCTGCTCCAGTTGTTCCCGAACCTTGGACAGTTTCTCGCACTCCTCATCCTTCAGCTTCAGCTCCTGCAACAGCATCACAGACACAGTCTCACACGTGCCTGCCCCCACCCACCTGCACACACCCGTTCCCCCCACCTCGCACGCCCCCATCCCCACCGCGCTTACACGTCTGCCCACCCCCCCCCCACCCCCATGGTGACTCACGCTCTGGGCCTTGGCCAGCTCCTCTCGGAGCCGCTCGCTGCCCTTCTCTCTGATCTCCAGGGAGGAGCTGCGCAGGCGGGACAGGTGGTAGGCGTTCCTCAGCATTTCCTGGCTCATGGCTCCCGCGGCCTCCAGCTCCGAGCCCGGCCCGGACCCCGGCAAAGGCCAAACATCCAGAGGCACCTTACCCTCACACTGGCTCCCCATGGCCACCGGCTTCCTGAGACACAGGGAGACAGAGATTGTAACACCATCCAAAGAGACCGTGTAACACCATCTGACCAGAGAGAGTCTCTCACATACATTCTCTCTCTCTCACACATGCACACGTCTGTTGTCACACCATCACAAACAGCAGTAACCTCCAAAACTGGAGAGGAAGTAGGGAAAACTACAATGAAAAGATACACAACATGTACAACTGTGGAGATGTGATAACAAAAATCAGTCAACAGATCGTGCAAGCTCACACAGCTCCGAACCCTGTCCATCCAGGTCTGAAACAGCACGGGTTAGAGATAAAGGAAAGCTCCATCTACACTGTCCGTCCACACTCCCAGGTCAGGGACAGCCCGAGTTAGAGACAGAGTGAAGCGCCACACTGTCCACACCATAGAGAGATCGGCAGGGTTGTAGGAAGTCACACAGGCAGGGTGGGGTGAGACCGTGGAGGGATTTGAAGGTGGGAACGAGGATCTTGAAATTAAAAATAATTCTTATATTTCACTAGAGGACATCCCAAAGCACTTCCCAGGTTATCCTGCAAGGTGCAGTAACTGTTTTGTGGGTGAATAACGCAGCTGATTTTGCACAGTGAGGGTCCCACAAACAGCCATGGGATCTTTAACAACCACCTGAACAGGCAGTCGGAAAATGGTTTAATGTCTCCCCCGAAGGACGGCACCTCCGACAATGCAATACAACCTCAGTACTGCACTGGAATGTAGGCTTAGACTATGTGATTCCAACTCCCGACAAGGGGTTTGAATCCATGTGGTGGGGGCTGGGTGTGGGGGGCGCGGAGTGGGGGGGTTCGGGGGGAAACGTCTCAAAGCGCGTCACAAAATATACTGTAAGTGAGTTGTCAAATAAGGGCATTGACTGTATATTTTGTGGACGAAACGCACAGCCAATTGTGCACAGCAGCTCCCCACGAACACTTGTGGACTGAGTGACCAAATTATTTTTTAATTTATTTTTTTGAAGGGATAATTATCCCCGGAAAGGCGATCCGCCATTCGACTAACAGGCAGGTTCCTACTTACTGCGAGGCGAACAGTGTGTACAGTAAGGAAATTTGCCCAACATTTTGCCCTGCTCGGGAATCAAACCCAGGGCCTCTCACTTGTGAGGCGAGTGCTCAAACCATTACACTGCAGGTCTCCACGCTCCATCACCTCCTGACTGAACACAGGCCCAATGTCCATCAACACAGTTTGAGTGAGTAGCAATGCACACACCCACACACACACACACAGCACATTACCACACACACAGACAGCCCCACAACACAAGGTTAGCAAACATTGGGCTTGTAGTCAGATTTAACCACTACTCTACGGGTCTATCAAGACCGTCACCCCCCCAATCACCACAGCCTATATCCCCCTCACCCTCCAGGCTGTTCCAGGCTGCCAGCGACACAGTCTGACTGCTCTGTTTATCTCCATTGCTTGCCCCAGACTGACTGTTACACCCTCGCTTCTTCAATGTAACAGGAGATTTGGTGAAAGTAAAACCCAGCCAAAAGCAACAGCCACCACGGCTGCCTTCCCTTGTTTTCCACATTCCTCTGCTTCGTGCTGGGGGCCCTTCTCGCTGCACAGCGCTGACTGGCTCTGTTACACCCTTTTACACAGCATATGTCCCACAAACAGCCGTGGACTGTGACCAATTTTATTCGTGGACCAGAACACCGGAAGAGAGAAACTCCTTTCTCTTTTTCCATGGGATCCTTACGTCCCACCTGAACAGACATGTGGGACCTCGATTCAACGTCTCATCCGAAGCACGGCACAATCCAGCAACACAACCCGGGCCCCCCCCCCCGACGCTGCACTGGAGTGTCATCTCAGAGCACGCGAGTTCAAGTCCCATTTTTGAACCCACAACCTTCTAGCTCAGAGACGAGAGCCTGAGCCAAGCTGACACACCACACATTGGCACAGGGTACTTTTTCTTGTCAGCCGGGTGGGCGTCTTGACACATCGGAAACCCATCACCGTGCTTAACAGCATCCGAACCAAATTCCATGCATCCCACCGACACATGGAAATCCCGGACATGTTGTTGGAATGGAATGCGCTCTCTCTCTCTCCCCCTGGAGGGGCACTTTCGTCTTACCCAATTCCGGAAAGAATTAGGTGTGCGCTGGGGTAACTGCTGGAGGGTAACCAGCAAAAATACATGGCTTGCCATAGCTGCCCCGACAAGCTTTCCCCCGGATTGTCCAACTAGAACCACCCTACGCCATAGGGCTTTGGCTTGAGGGGTAACAGGAGCTGAGGGGGGGATTCTCTGCTCCCAGTGACTGGTCTGTCCTTCCAGGTCCCGCCATCAGACAGACAGAGACACAGAGACACAAACAGAGACACACAGAGACACAGACAGACACACACAGTCAGAGACACAGAGACACAGACAGACAGATCCAGAGACACAGACAGACAGAGACACAGACAGACAGAGACACAGACAGAGACACACACAGACAGAGACACACACAGACAGACACAGAGACACACACAGCCAGACACAGAGACACAGACAGACAGAGACACAGACAGACAGACACAGAGACAGACACAGAGACACAGACAGACAGAGACACAGACAGACAGAGACAGACACAGAGACACAGACAGAGACACACACAGACACACACAGACAGACACAGAGACACAGACAGACAGAAACACAGACAGACAGACAGACAGACAGACAGACAGACAGACAGACAGACAGACAGACAGACAGACAGACAGACAGAAACACAGAGACACACACAGACAAACACAGAGACACACACAGACACACAGACACAGAGACACAGACAGACACAGAGACACACACAGACAGACACAGAGACACACACAGACAGACACAGAGACACACACAGACAGAGACACAAAGACAGACACCCACAAACACTGACACACACACTGACACAGACAGACAGACACAGACAGACAGACACAGACAGACACAGACAGACAGACACAGACAGACAGGGCTATGTGTAGTTGACATTGACGGTGAAGCAAAGGGATAGACATTACCACATCGCGGCTCCGCTCTCCTCCCGCGGACACCGACCACACAGTCTCCGCTCCGCAGCGGCTCCGCCCGCGATCAGCACAGCCACAGCCACACAGTGCCGCATGACACTCACTCACATGACTCCCCCACACCCCCCCCCCCACACACACACACACCCTCACCCCCACCCCTCACCCCCCCCCCACACACCCCACCCCCACCCCTCACCCCCCCACACCCCCCACCCCCACCCCTCACCCCCCCCACACCCCCACCCCCCCCTCACCCCCCCCCCACACACACACACACACCCTCACCCCAACCCCCACACCCCCCTCACCCAACCCCCCCACACACACACACCTCACCCCACCCCCCCACACACACACACCCTCACCCCAATCCCCCTCACCCCAATCCCCCCACACCCCAACCCCCACACACCCCCACACCCCCCCTCACCCAACCCCCACACCCCCAACCCCCTCACCCCCCCCTCACCCCAACCCCCCCCCACACCACCCCCTCACCCCAACCCCCATCACCCCAACCCCCCCATCACCCCAACCTTCCCATCACCCCACCCCCCCATCACCCAACTCCCCATCACCCCAATCCCCCATCACCCAACCTCCCCCACACACAACACCAACCCCCCATCACCCTAACCTCCCCCCATCACCCAACCCTCCCCCATCACCCCAACCCTCCCCCCCTACACACAGCACCAACCCCCCCATCACCCCAACCCTCTCCCCCCCACACACAGCACCACCACCCCCCATCACCCAACCCTCCCCCACCATCACCCCAACCCTCCCCCACCATCACCCCAACCCTCCCCACCATCACCCCAACCCTCCCCCACCATCACCCCAACCCTTCCCCCATCACCCCAACCCTCTCCCCCCACACACACAGCACCAACCCCCCCATCACCCCAACCCACTCCGCCCCACACACAGCACCAACAACCCCCATCACCCCAACCCTCTCCCCCCACACACACAGCACCAACCCCCCCCATCACCCCAATCCTCCCCCCATCACCCCAACCCTCTGCCCCCCATCACCCAAATCCTCTCCCCCCAATCACCCAACCCTCTCCCCCCACTACACACAGCACCACCACCCCAATCACCCCAACCCTCTCCCCCCACTACATACAGCACCAACCCCCCCATCACCCCAATCCTCTCCCCCCCCACAAACACAGCACCAAACCCCCCCATCACCCAATCTCCCCCCTACACACAGCACCAACACCCCCCCAATCCTCCCCCCCTACACTCAGCACCAATACCCCCCATGACCCCAATCCTCTCCCCTCCCCCCCCCCTACACGCAGCACCAACGCCCCCCATGATCCCAATCCTCTTCCTCCCACCACCACCTACACAGGGCACCACACACACACACCCATCACCCCAATCCTCTCCCTCCCCCCAAACACAGCACCAACACACACAGCCCCCATCACCCTCAGCCCCCATCACACACCCCCATCCTCTCCCCACCAATGCGCACACAGGGCACCAGCTCCCCTCCCTCATCTCCCTCCCTCCTGATATGAAAGACGCTTTATCAAATGTAAGCACTACTCCCGCAACCCCCCCCACAACTCTGCCTTCCACCCCAGCTCTGCAACATCGACCGACTCTGCTACTGCCTCTCTCCTCAGATGAGACCCTCATCCACACATCGGGGCTCAACGACGTCAACCCTTTGCTTGTCGGCCGTCCCATCTCTTCCCTCCACAAGCTGCAGAACATCCAGAACTCTGCAGATCCTGTCCTCTTCCGTACCAGGCTCCGTGACCCTATTACCCCCATCCTCGCCCGACTCCACTGTCTCCCCCCCCTCCCCCCCACCCCCTCAGAGGATAGACTTCCAAGACCTGGTGTGGAGTATAAACACTGGCTGTGTGACACAGAGTGAGGCCAGCTCCCTGACCCCCCCACCACCCCCCTCCCATCTGTCCATTCAGGTGGATGTTAAAGATTCCGCAACACTATTGGAAAAGAGACGGGAATTTCTCCCGATGTCCTGACCAACAGTCCCCCAGATGAACAATCGGGTATTCACTTTGTGGCTGTTTAAGGGACGTTGCTATATGAAAATGTAGCTACTGTGTTTTATCTATCAAATAGAACTGACCGTCCACACTCTCAGGTCAGCGACAACACAGATTAGAGACAGAGTAAAGCTCCCTCTATACCCGCACTAAGCTTCCTGAGCTGATCACCCCCATCCTCGCCCGGCTTCTCAGGCTCCCCATCCCCCAGAGGAGAGAGGGTCTAAAATCTGGTCCTCATCTTTAAAGCCCTCCACAGTCTTGCTCCTCCCTACTTTTGAGTCATATTAAAACTTCACCAACCTGTCTGCTCTCTCTGCTCTGCAGGCACTGGCCCACTCCACTATTGGCGGTCAGGCCTTCAGCCTTTCTGCCCCCACCCTCTGGAACTCCTTCCCAGAGCCCCTCCGCCTCGCCCCCTCCCATGCCTCCTTCAAGGTGCATTTCGGTCATCTTCCCTCCTCCACCCCGAGCCCCAGCTCAGGTACGAACTCCCTGTCCAGCACCCTGGGACTTCCTCCCGATGTGAAAGGTGTTATACAAATACAGTTTGTCGTTGACGTTACACTGCCCGTCCGCACTCCCAGGGCAGTGATGGATGTGTGTGTAAATATTGGCTGGCAGAGGGAACGATTGGGACACTGTTGACATCTCTCTCTGTCTCTCTCTGTTGGCCACAGTCCAGCTAACAATCAGTAAAGTCACGTAAAAGCGATGGATTGGTTTGAAAAGCAAATAGGTCATTGGAGGAGCAACTGTGTAACTGAGGAGTGTGGAGAAGCGGAAATAACCTACGTGTCAGCCACTTCTCACCCTTAATCTAACCTCCTGATACCACAGAGATAAACACTGCACAGAACAGAAACATTAAACACAGGCGAGGAACACACGATGACCCGTGGGAAAAGGCAACAGTCACACAGGGCAGGGGACGTCGAGCAGGCCAGAGCCTGCAGAGCAGAGAGAGCAGACAGGTTGGTGGAGTTTTAATATGACTTACACCTCACAACATGGGTTAATAAATTAATTTAAATGAATTGTAAAGTCACAGTATGTTCTGTGAAGCGCGTTGAGATATCTCGAAGATGTGATAAGGCGCTACATCTAATGCAAGGATTATTATAATTACTATTATTAATCACTGTGCCAGTATGAGTGTCACACACAATGCCCTGGATCTCACGTCCGCAGATCAGTTACTCTGTCCGTAGAGCTGCTCTGTCAGTTGTCAGCCTGGCTCGGGTGGTTACACTCTCGCCTCCGAGTCAGAAGATTGTAGGTTCCGCCTGGGCTGACGCTCCAGGATAGCACTGTGGGGGAACACTACATTGTCGGAGGTACTGTCATTCAGATGAGACGTTTAATCTGATGCCCCGTCTGCCTGTTCAGGTGAACGTTAAAGATCCCACTGCTCTATTCAGAAAGAGAAGCGAGTTTCTCTCTCCCGGTGTCCTGGCCGACAATCCCCCAAATAAAATCGGTCACTCACTTCGTGGCTGTTTGTGCGACATTTGCTGCGCTCAAATTGGCTGTCGTGTGTACAGTAGATCCTGTGAAGCACTTTGAGACATCCGTGTGATGTGAAAGGCACCGTATCAAATGGGAGGATTATTTTCTGTCTGGTTTGAGACTGGGAGCTTGTCAATGTTGACAATGTGGGCTGCTCTGGGGATGTGCTGCTCAGACACTGTGCGGTGTAACACAGTGAGCTTCACAGGATGGGCCCTGAAAGAGAGCTCTCGAAGAGTCAGACAGGCCACAACAATAATAATAAATGATATAGTGACTCATTATGTCTTCGAGATGTCTCAAAGCGCTTCACAGAGTATACTGTATATTTTGTGGGCAAAACGCGGCAGCTACTTGCGCACAGCAGCGCACTCAATGACCTCCTCCTGTGTCTGTGGTAATTTGCTGCACCCATCTCCCCACCCCCACTTCGCTCTCAAAACCCCCTCATCTCTCACCTCTCGATGAGCGTTCCCCCTGTGCTGGGCTGTGTGCTGCCCCCAGGCGGGGGGCTGTCGGTGCCGGAGTCCATGTCCCCCGGGGTCTGCGTGTTCCCGGTTACAGGCAGCTCACAATCCGAGATTTTCCTCTGGGATGTCATAGCGGTCCCGGTCACCTGGGAAACTCCCTCAAGTGACTCCATCTCCCACAGGGAGGGGGAGAGAGAGAGAGAGAGGGGGAGAGGGAGAGGGAGAAAGAGAGAGGGAGCGGGGGGAGATAGGGGAGAGGGAGAGAGAGTAAGATAGAGAGAGCTCTTGAAGGGTGAACCTCTCACAGGGTAAGGTCCACCCCGGCTAAGCAGGGGCTTAGGACTCCACACAGCAAAGCCTAGTCCCCTCCCTGGGGGGGGGATGGGGGGTGGGGGTAGGTTCTCACCGTCTCAGCAATCGCCTGCCTCTGAACAAACCATTCAGTGTGTGAGTGTGTGAGCCACTCCGTGCTGGTGTTTATACTCTCCACAAGCCCCCAGCCCTCCTAATCCCCCTCTATTCCCTTCCCTCTCACTGGCCGTTAGATTGGGCCAGGCACAGGTTCTTGGACTCACTCGCACTTGCTCGACCCTTGGAACCAGCCACGCTCTCCTCCAAGAAGCCGACTCAGTGGAATTTGTGTCCTGTAATGATTAACCCTGGGGCAGCAAGAGAACGCGGCACGGGGCGAGGAGAGAGAGCGAGGGGGCCCCGGGTGGGGGGGCGGGGGCTGATGGGGAATTATCTGCTGGTGTACAGCAACCACCCCCATCCCCACCCCCACCCGCCCTGCCTGTCCTGGCCTACAATCTTCCAGATAAAATGGGTCACTCCCTCCATGCCGGCTTGTGGTTGCTACAGTTCTCTACAAACACAGTTACTATTGTCACAGTGATCCTGTGAAACCACACATTGCAACACACGACATTATAATACTGGATTCATCCCCAGGACTTCCTCTTCTCCCTCAGTATCTGCTTTCTTGCACAAGTAAAGAGGGGAGGCAATAGAGGGGTTGAGAAGGGGGCAGGGGCTTGGGTGGAGTAAAAGCACCGGCACGGACAGGCTCACACACTGAATGGCCTGTTTCCGTGCCGTATTACTACATAATTCCTTTGGCAGAGGTCAGCAACCAGGTATCAGGGTCTCAAACTCTGAATCAGAAAGATCACATTGATACACCCAATCACAGCAGCGTTTCCAGCTTCACACCCTACCCCCACCCACCCATACTCATAGTAAAGATGGTCGTTCTTAACTTCATTTCCTGGGCAAGAAGTAACGTCCAGGCAGGCATCTTGACCATGTGCCTCCTTACAACACGGTCCCTTGATGTCTCTTCATATCTGTGGATGTGCACCACACAAGGCAAGACGAAACCTTGGGCAAGTTTACTTACTCCACACAGAGCCTAATAATAATCCCTCCAAAACAATAATAAATTGGTCATTTTCAATCCACGACTGTTTGTGGGACACTGCTGTGCGCAATTGGCTGCCGCATTTTGCCCATAAGTGTACAGTCAATTCACTTTACAGCATATTCTGCGAAGCAATTTGAGACGTCGAGAAGACATGAAAAGCGCTATATCAAATGCAAGGATTATTATTATTATTATTACTCGTGCCCACAGTGTAACCCGCGTTGTGTATCCTGTGTTACCAGGGCTCTCCACATCTGTTAGGATGAAGAAGGCCCTTCGACTCATCTGATCCCATCCCTCCAGAACACCCACACTATCACCGCTACCCCCCCCATCCCCATCACAGCATCAAACTGCTTTTTTCCCAGCCTCAACCACACTTCCTGGCAAACTGTTCCAGTCATTAATTCCCCTCTGAGTAAATAAATACTTGTCCTAAAATTGCCTGTCCTAAAATTGTGCTTTTACAACTCTAAACCTGAGTCCTCTTGTTCTACTGTCATGATATATCCTAAAGGATTGATCTGGGTTTACTTTTTCATTCCCATTAAAAACAATTATATATACCTCTACTGTTCCCTCTGTGTTGTCTTCTCTCTAGACCGAAGAGCCCCAGCTGCTTGTATAATCATTGCTCACAGCTCATTTCTCTATTACAACAACAGCAAAATCACATTTGTAAAATGCTGGGGACTTCACAAATATGGAGATCAGCCTCGTTGCTCTCCTCTGCACTGCCTCGAGCAGCCTCTTACATCACAGTGGCCAGTATCCTGGCCTCAAACCCACGGGAGTGTGAGATTATATAATTCAGAGCATGAAAGGGGAAGTTAGATGGAGGGAGTTCCCGAGGTTCAGGGCCAAAGACTCTGCCCCATTTGAAACAGGCCTCTGATCCAGGCAGATCATCCCACACCCACAGCCGGACAACAACAACTTGCACTTACATAGCGCCCTCCACGCAGGTAGTGTCTCAGAGCACTGAACAGTGGCGGAGCCAGACTCCGCGCCTGTGGGGGCTGTGGGGGTGGAGGTGGTGGCCGTAAGCACGGTCGAAGAGGAAGGTCTTTAGGCAGGACTTGAAAAAGGGGAGAGAAGGGAAAGGCGGAGGGATTGGGGGAGAGTGTTCCAGAGTTCCACAACTCACTGAGAATAAAACCAGGCGATGACCTGTTCCAAGCCCTCTCCCCACTACCATCAGTGTCGGAAGCTTCAGTTTCTAACCTCAGGAACTCCCTCCCTCTCTCTAACTTCCCCTTTCACGCTCTGTATGATAATTATAACCTCCCATCCTCTTGTCCTCAAATTAGCCATCAGCGGAAACACTTCCTCAGCATGTGTCCTGTCTCACACCCTTTCACTATCTAAAACTCCATCAATATAAATAGGTCCTGAAATGTAGATAGAGAGAGGATATTCCGTGAAACTCTTTGAGAGGTCTCGAAGATGTGATAACGGCGTATACCAAACGCAAGGATTATTGTTATTATTTGTGGTTGCTGTAATGGCGTAATCACAATTTACAGGAGGTTGGGGCACAACAAGCTCCCGAAATCCCTCGGCCTCGGGCCCTCGCGCCCTGCCTCCAAATCCCCTGGAAAAAATCTCTGACTTGTGTTTGTTTTACACCCTTAACCTCCCGTCTGTGCCTGTGAGTGAAGGCACGTGTAAGTTCGCTGTTACTAACACAAACCGTGTGCTGTAAGGGTGTCTCACTGCTCACTGCTACTCTCCTGTGGTAATGCTACAGAACTGCAATTTGTTGTTGTTATTGTTAATCTGCTGACACAGCGAGGCCGAGCGAAAAAATTGCTGAAAGTCCCCCCAGTCTCAGGCTGTCAGAGCATTTCGTCCTAAAACGTAAAACGGCGCAAAATTCGGAGATGGAAAAATCCATTTCGGAATTTGTTTTGTTTCCAGAGCTTCGAAAAATAAACAGTTTCCAAATTCCGGGATGAATGCCGTTTCTAAAGGCGTCATAGCAACTTTGTGACCTGAGCAGACAGACTGCACCTTGTTTCATCCACACGTCTATGCATTAATCTCTTCACGCCCTGGCACTTCTCTGAATCTCCTTACTCCCTACTCCCTCTACCCGCCACCTCCGCTCGGCTGGCTCTGGCCTCCTGTATGCCTCTCAGCCCCTCCACTCCATTATCAGTGGCCATCCTATCAGCCAATACTATTGATTCCCAGGTGGGGTTAAACCTTAGGCACATTTCCTTCTCTACACGCTTCTGTTTACCCAGCAGTAAATAGGAACCCAGTTGTTAGTCGATTGGCAGAACGCTTTAGGATGGAAATAATCCTTCCAAAAGGAAATTTTGTCACTCAATCCACGGCTGTTTGTGGGATACTGCTGTGCGCAATTGACTGCCATGTTTCACCCACAAAATTACCCAGTGAATACACTTTACAATATATTCTGTGAAGCGCTTTGGGGCTATGTGGTCAGATGCTATATCAAATGCAAGGTTTATTGTTATTATTATATTCCATTTCCCCGTCCCAACCCCAACCCCTGCTGTAGTTGTCATGAAGCAGGGGTGAGGTGAGCAAGGCACAGGACTAGGTATTGCTGTCTGACTGCCTCATCCCACCCCCCCCCCCACCCCCACCCCCTACCCCCCAGTGCGGAGCAAAGTGAACAGGATTTGAGGGAGAGATTAACGCGGAGACAAAGCGGCGCTGTGTATTGTGTGGATTAGCTGGTCAAGTGACCGCCTCTCTTGGAAAGGTTAGGAAATTCCATTCACTTCTCTGTTACCAGAGTTGTCACGACGGGAAAAAATGAGCCGTGGAAAACATTCTGGAGCCCGGAGTTTGGACGGAAAGAAGGAATCGGTGTCTTAGGCCTGAGAGTGCAAGCTCGGCAAGTGTAGGGAGGTGAGAGCCAGATTGGCAGTAGATATGTGGGGACTTGCCAGGGGCTGGGGTTGAGGCTGGGGACTGGGACTGGGGGCTATGGTTGGACCTGGGGTTGAGGCTGGGGCTGGGTTTGGGGTTGAGGCTGGGGCTGGTTTGGGGTTAGGGCTGGGTTTGGGGTTGGGTTGGGGCTGGGGCTAGGTTTGGGGCTGGGGCTGGAGTTGGGGTTATGTCAGACTGTAGCACACCGACACTGCCTGTGTGTTATTATCTGTATGTTACAGCCTCACACTCAGCGTGTGTCAGTCTCACGCTGTGTATGTTACAGCCTCACATTGTGTGTGTGTTACAGAGTACCCTCGCTGGGGGTCAGGGCGTGAGGATGACGGTGACCTACACTAGCCGAGTGGCTAATGCCCGGTTGTGTGGCTTCTCCAAGCTGCTGCTGCGCTGGAAGGGCAGCATCTACAAGCTCCTGTACAAGGAGTTCCTCATCTTCACGCTGCTTTACTTCAGCCTTAGCTCCATCTACAGGTAAGAGGCGTTTCACAGCCCATCACTGCCCTCCCTCGGGCAGCGAGCGGGCAGTGATCACCTCTAATTCTGGGGTAATTCTGTATCGATCACTAGGTCACTCTTCGGTCAAGCGCTCTGGGACACTGCCCTGCGTGAGGGGTCCTATATAAATGCAAGTTGTTGTTGTTGTTGTAGGAGGCAGCACAATCCTCTGGATTTCTTGCCTTTCCAATCTCAGTGTGCCCGTCCCCGACCTTTTTTTAAAAAAAAATGGTTTATACACATTTCAGGCCCTGGAATGGCTTTTTTTTAGTTTAAATCCGGAATTATTTTTTTTACAGGCTGCGGTTTAGTTGCTTTTGATTTTAATAGTTCATTTCTGGGGTTGGATCGTGAGAAGAACGTCAAAATCCACTCTCTGCCCGGCCCGAAAATGTTATATCACTGGGCGGATCACATCGCAAAGCAGACGAGAAATGTTATATCAGAGCAGAAGATGATGCCATCTTCTGATCAGTCATTGCATTACAACAACAACACATTGCATTTATACAGAGCTGTGGGTTGGCATGGAGGGCAAGGGTGGGGGGGGTGGAGGAGGGAAGATGACCGAAGGGACGGTCAAAAGAGGAAGGTCTTGAGATGGGCCTTGAAGGAGGCAAGGGAGGCTCCGAGGAGGATGGAGTTCCAGAGGGTGGGGGCGGAGAGGCTGAAGGTGGAGCAGGCAGGGCAGTGCCTGCAGAACAGAGGTAGCGGACAAGTTGGTGAAGTTTTAGTAGGTGGCAGAGGGGGAGAAGCAAGACCGTGGAGGGCTTTAAAGGTGAGGACAAGGATCTTGAACTCGATCCTTTGGGGGATAGGGAGCTACTGAAGCTGGGCGAGGGTGGGGGTGATCGACACACGGAGCTTAGTGTGGTAGAGGACACGTTCAGTGTGAACCTCACATTAAAAAATGATCAAACACCCATAACCCCTACGTGTGTTAGTCTAAGATCTCAGGTACTATAATTCCTGATGACAGCACAGCCAGTCTGGCTCAGGTATCGGGCCACTGAGACCACACAGAACATTTCCTGCTGATCTAATGCTCTGTGCTCCCTCCTCTCTCAGGTTCCTGCTGAATCAGAGCCAGAAACGAGTCTTTGAGCAAATTGCCATCAACTGTAACAACTACGCTGACCTGATCCCCATGTCCTTTGTGCTGGGTGAGACTCATACACATTGTCGTTGTGGGCCGGGGGAGGGATGGGAGTGGGGAAAGCCACAGGACGTGAGGGACAGGGACAGGGGAGAGAACATAGCTGTTTGTGGGATATTGCTGTGTGCAATTGGCTACCGCGTTTCGCCCACAATACACACAGTCAATCCACTTTACGATATGTGAAGTGCTTTGAGATGTCTCAATAATGAGATAAGGTGCTACATCTAATGTAAGGATTATTATTATTATTATGACAGTCTTCACACAAGCTTCCATTTGCTTTGCACATGTTGAATTTGATTTCCCCCCTCCCTCTTTCTCCTCCACACACCTCTCCCTCCACCTCCCCACACACCTGTCTCTCCCGCCACTCTCTCTCTCTCTCCACCCCCTGTAGGTTTTTATGTGACGCTGGTGGTTTCCCGATGGTGGAATCAGTACCAGAGCATGCCGTGGTTAGACCACTTGATGTGTGTGATCTCCTGCCATGTGCAGGGCACAGACGAGTATGGCCGCATGCTGCGCCGCACACTGATGCGCTACGTCAACCTGTCGTCCGTCCTCATCTTCCGCTCGGTCAGCACCGCCGTCTACAAACGATTCCCCACCCTCAGGCACCTGGTGCAGGCAGGTGAGGAGCCAGCCCCACGCACAGTCCAGGCCACACCACACCGCAGGCAAAACAACCCACACGCGAGATTTGTAACTGGAGAATTCCCAGATGGGACCGAATCTCTGGAATTCCCAGAGCCTGGAGTGATGTTCCTGAGGGTCATCCTGAAATTCCCTAGTGACTAACAACAACAACAAATTAGATTTACACAGCGCCTTTCACATCGGGAGAAAGTCCCAAGCACTGGACAGTCAGGGATTTGGATCCGAGCTGTGGGTTGGAATCAGGGAAGGTGAAGGACAAGGAGGGTGGGGTAGGAGAGTGAGCCTAGGCACGGTTGAAGAGGAGGGTCTTGAGATGAGCCTTGAATGAGGCAAGAGAGGGAACCAGGCGAAGGGAGTGTGGGATGGATTCCAAAGGGTGGGGGCAGGGAGTCTGAAGACTCACGTAATATAATCCCCTGAGGTGCCCAAAATTCCAACTAGTCTCAGCCTATCAGCAATTAAAATGTCAGCTGGATCATAATATGGAAAGGGTGGCTTTCCGCACATCTTACAAACAAACCAGCTTCCAAATTCAGGTTGAATTGAAGAATGCTTCACAATGTGGGGGCACCTTTCGTTGTGAGCTAAGCTGGTCTGACTGGCAGAGACCGAGGCACTTCAGGCTCTGTGTCCCTCACACATTAACTCATTTTACGTAACAGTGTAGAAAAAAATGCCAATGAAGTGCAGTCAAGTGATCTGAGGCCAGGTTACCCTGAGCCAAATTCGTGTTTCCCTGAGCCAACGAGTCACTGGGCTTAGAGACATGTCCCCGGTCTGGGCTCAGCCAGGCCAGGCCGTGAACCTGTGTCTCTGCGATCGATGTTTGAGTCATGTAGGAGTTGCTTCTCCTCACATTGATGGGGTGGGAATCTATGATCCGAGGAATTTTGTGTCTCAGAGCGTATGTGGTGCTGAGTGTGACTGAGTTAAAGTGACTGCTCACTAGGGTTGGGTGGGTGGGTGAGCGAGACGGGAGAAGGCTGTATGAGGGGTAGATTCTCGGAGTGCACCTCTGAAAAAAGGAGTCCCGTCTCCTCCCCCCCTCTCTCTCTCTCTCTCTTTTCCTCTCTCCGCCCCCCCTCCTTTCTCTCCCTCTCTCTCCAGGTTTCATGACGCAGGATGAGTACCAGAAGTTTGAGAGTCTGAAATCGCCGCACAACAAGTTCTGGATTCCATGCGTTTGGTTTGTGAACCTGGCGGTCAAAGCAAAAAAGGAAGAGCGGATAAGTGACTACGTGTCCCTGGCCCACATCTTTCGAGTGAGTGATCTCTGGATAGCTCTTGGAAGGTGAAAGGGTTTGGCAGGAGGAGTGTGTAAGGCAGAGAGTGATGAGAGTATGAATCTGGGCCTCAGACAGGCTGTGGTTCTGTCCTTGGCTCTTAACCTCTCTGTGTCTGGGGCCAACAGCATGTTGGTGATAAACAGGGCCCTCTGACCCTGTGATAACAGGGAGGGTTTGGGGTCACTGCAGAGGATCGCAGTGATACTCAACAATGGCTGCATCTCTTTGCAGGAGGTGAACACTCTGCGGAGTCAGTGTGAGCGACTCTACAGCTATGACTGGATCAGTGTGCCGCTGGTCTACACCCAGGTAAGCGCTGCCCGCTCTCCACCAAGCTCGCCAACTGGCAACCTCAACACTACAGCCTGAAACACAGCCACCTCAACACTACAGCCTGAAACACAGCCACCTCAACACTATAGCCTGAAACACAGCCACCTCAACACTACAGCCTGAAACACAGCCACCTCAACACTATAGCCTGAAACACAGCCACCTCAACACTACAGCCTGAAACACAGCCACCTCAACACTACAGCCTGAAACACAGCCACCTCAACACTACAGCCGAAACACAGCCACCTCAACACTACAGCCTGAAACACAGCCACCTCAACACTATAGCCGAAGCCACTCAACACTAGCCCGAACACAGTGATGAACACAGATAAGATCGGGCATTCACGTCATCGCTGTTTGATGGACATGCAAATGACTCTTATGTTTCCCTTCAAACATCGTCAACCTAATCATTATTTGAGAGTGATTTAGAATGTCAGACAGGATCCAGCTGCTGTATACCACACCCTCTCTTTCCCAGGTGGTGACGATCGCAGTGTACAGTTTCTTCCTCGCCTGCCTGATTGGTCGCCAGTTCCTGGATCCCAGTCAAGGTTACCCCGGCCATGAGCTCGACCTGTACATCCCAGCCTTCACTCTGCTCCAGTTCTTCTTCTATGCCGGCTGGCTGAAGGTATGGACTCCCCAGAGGCGATGCAGAGACATCGTCAACCTTATGTTAGAGGTGGGGGGGGCAAGATGAAGGAGGGCTTTGAAGGTGAGGACCAGGAGCTTGAACTGTATCCTCTGTGTGATGGGAAGCCAGTGGAGTCGGGCGAGGATAGGGTGATCGGGTCACGGAGTCTGGTGCGGTGGAGGTAGAGTTGGGTGTCATCCGATTACATGTGGACGTTGACCCCATGTCTGCAGATGATGTCGCCAAGAGGGAGCAGGTAGATTTTGAAGAGGAGGAGACTAAGGACAGGACCCTGAGGAACACCGGGGGCCAGAGGCAAAACCATTTGTGGAGAGATGAAATGTAGGCAGTGTGAGAGGTAGGATCTGAACCATTCAAGGACAGAACCGTGAAGGTTGAGGTGAGAGGAGAGGCAATGGATGAGGTTGGAGTGGTCAAATGTTGTCAAAGGCAGCAGAGAGGTCAAGGAGCGACAGAGAGAGCGACAAGGCTGATCACAGTGTTCGAGACAGAGCAGACTAGATAAATCATGTTTCATCAGGCTTGAAAAGAGACGTCTCAGTGAGATAGAGATCAGGATAGAGAAAAATAAATCCAGATCAATATTGTCAGATATGTCAGATCAGCTGACAGGGCACAAGTTCAGGGTGTGATGGAAAGGTTTCGGACAGACACCAGGAAGTAGGTCTGTATATCTAACGTGGTTTACAGCTGAGAATTTTTCTTATGACATCTGGACCTCAGGTGGCCGAACAGCTGATTAATCCCTTTGGTGAGGACGATGATGACTTTGAGGCAAACTGGCTCATTGACCGAAACCTGCAGGTAACAACAATAATAATAATAATCCTTGTATTTAGTATATATATATATTGTCAAGTGTAGTGTCTCTGTATTTGTGAGCGAAATGCGGCAACCATCAGCGTCCCACAAACAACCATGGAGTGAGTGTCTAATTTTATCTGGGGGATTGTATGCGTGTGTGCGTGTGCAAATATATATATAGAGAGAGAGAAAGAGAGGGTGTGTGTGTTTGCGTGTGTGTAGTGTGTGTGTATATGAAATGTGTGTGTGTATAGTATATGTGTGTGTGTAGAGTGTGTGTATATAGTATGTGCATGTGTGTGTAGTGTGTGTGTATAGTGTGAGTTTGTAGTGTGTGTGTTTGTAGTGTGTGTGTGTGTGTGTGTAGTGTGTATGTGTTGGTGTGTGTGTAGTGACCGCAGTCACAGTGAGTGTCACTCCTTGTGTATACAATGCTCTTGCCTCTCCAGGTCTCTCTCTTGGCCGTGGATCAGATGCACCAAAACCTTCCGGCTCTGGAGAAGGATAAATACTGGAACAACAATGAGCCACAACCACCGTACACAGCTGCAGCCAACGAGCACCGCAAATCCTCCTTCCTGGGCTCCACCTTCGACATCAGGTCAGCGGTCTGAGAGACTTACTGGGGGGAGGGACCGGGGGCAGTGACCAGGCTGGGGTCTGAGTGACTTGTTGACTCTGCTCCACTCAGGTCGGATGTTCCATGTCCTAATATCCCTGAGCGTAAAACATTTCTCCCGACTTCTCCAGTGTGTTTTGGTGAATTCAGTCTCACTGTCCTCACTGCAACAACAACAATAAATTACATATACACAACCACCTTTCACATCGGGAGGACGTCCCAAGGCGCTGGACAGTCAAGGATTTGCCGAGCTGGGGTTTGGGATCAGGAGGGCTGGAGGACATGGAGGGTGGAAATAGGAGGGTGACTGAAGGCGCGGTTGAAGAGGAAGGTCTTGATGCCTTGAAGGAGGCGAAGGAAGGGGCGAGCCGAAGGGACTGTGGGATGGAGATCCAAAGGGTGGAGGCTGAAGGTCCAGCCACCCATGGTGGGGCGGGCAGGGCGGGGGATATGGGGCAGGCCGGAGCCTGCTGAGCGGACAGCAGCCCTGAGTGTCAGTGTGTATCAGGTGAGGGTGAGGTTACTCTGTGCTGTGTGTGTGTACCTTACAGCATGCTGAAAGAGGAAATGGAGTTCCAGCCCCTGGAGCAGATCAACGAGAACGAGGCAGTGAATCACGCCACGCCCCTGCTCAGTAACCTGGGCCGACTGCTGGGGGTGCCCACAGCCAACCTGCAGAACATCTCCCGATCCACACCTCGCATCAACCTCCTGCGCAAGAGAGCGGGGCCCCTGTCCCCCAGCCCCCTGTACAGCTTCCTCAGCTCCGACTCCACACCCAACGGCTTTCACAAGCCAGGGGGGGCGCTGCTGCCCCCCAACCGGCCCTTTGCCCGTCTTCACCGAGCGTCTTCCTCCTCTACTTCCCCACTGGGCTCCACTCAGGGCTGCGGGCCCCTGGGTGACCCCGAGGTCCCCGAATACGACGGCTTCATTTCCTCCTCGTTCTACGAACGGCCGGGCTATTACAGCGCCCCACAGACCCCCATCCACTCCGTGCCCATGGTTTTCCCCCCAAGCGGCTCCCCATTAAGAAGCCCTTGACCTTGGCCAGGGCAGATGAGCCGGACAGAGCCAGCCTTGGGGCCGAACCCCAGCCCACCGGGGAGCTGGGCATCTCCACCAGCAACAGCAACTACCCCCTCCTTCCCGAGGGTCCACATGGCTTCTCCTCCGGGGAAGCCTTGTCGGACACAGTGAAGCCCAACCTGGCCATGGGGGATGGGTTCCGCGCCCGCAAGCACCCGCGGCTCACCCTGGAGTCCCTCCGGCACATCAGCAGTGGTGACCTGCCCAGCCCAGCCCTCATCCCCTCTGCCATCAACACCCCGGGGCGAAGCTCCACCTTCTCCTTCACCCCCATGGCCTCCCCTCTGCTGGAACGAGCCCCGATAAGGAGCCACAGTGGGCTGGTCTTCACTGGCGACGAGAGGGTAACGGGCACTACCGAACCGGGCATCTCCTCCAAGACCTTCAGTATGCCAGGGCTGCCCACACTCACCTCAGAATGCCCCACCGATGCCAACACAAAGTCGCCCTTGGCCAGCCAGAGCCAGCCCCTATCCTCAACTAATACACGAGTCTCTCTCATCGAAGGAGACCTAGTCAACTTCATGGAGATTATCATGGAGACAGCAGAGAACAGCCCCGATGGTGGGAAGACCGAGATGGATCAGCTTACTGATTCTCAGGGAGCGGAGACAAAACACTGAGGATTCCATCCGTGCCTTTCCTTGCTTGTCCACCATCATCCTGATTTGGGAAGTTGGACTCGGGCAAGATTCCGTTCTGTGTAGACTCACTTGTCCCTCGTCCCCCAACCCCACCCCAGGACTGTCACAAGGTCTCCAATACCCAGCCTTAGTGAAGCTCCAGTTCAAAATGTGAGTCATGGTATCAGAACGCCGCTGCTCACCTCTCTTCAATGGTCTTATGCTATTGATCGGCTTCACCGATCAATAGCATAAGACCATTGATGGGAGAGTTCATTAGAGAGTAGAGGAGCCAGAGTAAAACCATGAATACTGTTGAGGGTTTTACAGTATTCGTGGTGGTTAAAGTCTCAAGGCTCATTTCAATCAAGGGTCCGTTCCCTGTCACTACTCCACTCCCCCCACTCCCCTCACCCACCTTAATGATCTCAGCTATCAGACTACAACATGCACTGATGGCAGGGAATCCTCCCTGTCAGTTCCTGTTAACTCTGCAAGCCAAAGCCTTAGTAGGTAGGGTGGTCCTAGCTGGACAAGCAGCTGGAACCTTGGCAGACAGTGATAGCTGCAGAAAAACAACTCCCGGATTAAAAACGTTTTTTTTCCAAAATTTGGCACCATCTTACATTTTATCTTCAGTTCATGAGGAGGTGGTTTTGAGGCCGAGACAGAGCCTGGGTGCTCAGTGAATTGGCAAGCGCTCACTCCCACACAAAGCAGCACAATAAACCCCAACACAGTCCTTCAACGTAAACACCAAAACAAAATGTCCACTTATGTCCTCCCATCACTAACTGACACACTAACATGCTTCCCCACTTACTTAGACTCACTCACTAAATACTGACTGCAAATTTGACCACGGGAAGCAAAGTGCTAGGAGAAATAGACCCACTTTTGATGTAGCAGAGACACTGGTTAGCAGCACAATGGTCAATGCATTGTACAGTAACAAATCAGAGACTGAAGGCTGGAGATGGAAAGACAATGAAATGCCAAGAGGGAGAGAAAGAGTTCCTGAAGGACAGAGATGGACAGAGGGAGAAAGAGGTAAAGGCTTGAAGATGGAGTGAGATGCACTGTGAGGTGTATTCGCCCAGCAAATTCTTATGTTCTAGGTGCTTTTCAGTGTTGATCTGTCCTTGCTCTAGCACAGACTGAGACAGCTACAGACGCCTCCTTCATCCACATCAGGAATGCACGTGCAACCTACATAGATGTCTGAGCTCCATTGGCTCCCGTTAATGCTGTGACGTGTCCTTGTTTCTGCTGCCTTTAGTCTGAGCTCAGCTACAGACCTCTTGGCGTTAAAACAATACTTATATTGAGTTCATGAGAGGCCTTTGTGACCTCAATGTTCAGTGATGTTGATGAATCCTGCTTTATCGCGCTCAGCGAGACTGGTAAAGAGAAGCGATGTGACTGAGCCGATAGCACACTGGTGTGGCTGCCTCAGCCATGTGCTGTCTGCTTAATCCTCTCTGTATGTGAACGACTGTAATACAGACTTGGCCTGACACAATGTGTTCCTTCCTCACTGCTTCTCCTTTCCGCCTCAACGCACAATCTGTCTGTCAGTGTCACGTGAGCATCTGCGTGCTGGTGTAAATGTGATGCCTGTGTGCCGACCAGTGTACGTACTCATGTCGGTGAGAGTGACTGCGAATGCACATGCGTGTGAATGAGTGGGAACGATCTGTGTATAGAAGAACAGAAAGCTATCAATAGGGAGTTCTGACATTCATAAACTGAATATAACTGAACACAATAATAAATAATCCTTGTATTTGATATAGCGCTTTTCACGTCGGGAGGACGACCCAAAGCGCTTCACAGAATACACTGTAAAGTGAATTGACTGTATATTTGTGGGCGAACGCAGCAGCCAATTGCGCACAGTAATGTCCCACAAACAGTCGTAGATTGAAAATGACCAATTTATTATTGTTTTGGTTTTGGAGGATTATTATTAGGCTCTGTGTGGAGTAAGGAAACTGCCCAAGGGTTTCGCCCTCTGCCTGGGATTGAACTCAGGTCTCTCACTTGCAAAGCGAGTGCTCTAACCACAGGACTCCACAATGTACTGGATATTAAAATAATAAACCTTACATTTGATTACGGCTCCTTATCACATCGTTGAGACATCTCAAAGCGCTTGACAGAATATACTGTAAAGTGGATCGACCGTGTATTTTTGTGGGTGAAATTGTTTATTCCTTTAAATAATCAGTGGCAGAGAAGCCCAGAGAATACCCACTGGTGAGCTTGTACAGAATGTAATGACAGGGTTAATAGAACTCCCACATGTAGTGTGCTAGCACACAGTGAGGGGGTTTGTGCTCGCTGCAGTTATCAGCTCACAGTGGGCAGCACACGATAAGTAAGACAGCTCAGCAGAGGTTCCCAGAATCCAGGCCAGACTCTAACCTGCAGCTCCAGCCGTCGCTTATCAGCTGCTATCACAGGCTGACATCAGCGACACGACAAACATACAACCAGCTCGGCACACGTGGAGAAATAGAGCGAACAAGTTCAATGTCTAACATACATCTCCTCATACACACTCACTCACATGCAAACAGACCCCACACACGCAGTCTCTCACACACACACTCTGTAATAATAATAATCCTTGCATTTGATACAGCGCTTTTTCACATCTCCTCGACTTCTCAAAGCGATTCACGGAACATACTGTAAAGTGAATTGACCGTATATTTGTGGGCGAAACGCAGCAGCCAATTGCGCAACAGCAATGTCCCACAAACAGTCGTGGATTGAAAATGACCAATTTACTATGTTTTGTTTTTTGGAGGATTATTATTAGGCTCTGTGTGGATAAGGAAACTTGCCCAGGGTTTCACTCTGCCTGGGAATTGAACCCAGGTCTCTCGCTTGCAAGGCAAGTGCTGTAACCACTGAGCTACAGGACTCACAGGACTCTCATGCATACACATACACACACTCACTCATCCACACTTATGCACACACGCTCACACATTCATGCACTCGCACACACGTTGTGCACACCATGTCCTCAGTTCATCCTAAAATCTCCAGCCGGCACACAAAAGTGTGTGGGTGTGACCCGGTTGGGCTGTTTGTGTCTCTGCTCAGTGACTGAGCCCCAGTGATAAGCACAGCGGTTGTCAACAAAATGGACCCAATCATTGAGTTTCTGAGAACAGTGAAAGATAGAAGAAAACTCTTACATTTCCCCAAGCATCTTATCACAGAGAAACGTCTCAAAGCACTTCACATACTAACTGTCGGATGTGGTGACTGTGTATTTGTTAGCAAATGCAGAGGTTAAAAGTTCTCTCCCCAAGATAAAATGGTTATTCACTTAATGACTGTGTGGGATATTGCTGTGCGCAAATTCGCTGCTGTGCTCACCTACTAAACAGTCACTACACTTTACAGTGAATCCTGAGAAGCGCTTTGTTATTTTTCCCACAGCCAGGGATCCACAGACAGTGAGGAGGTAAGGGGGGAATTGCTGGCCTGGACACCGGGGGAGACTCCCTCTCGTTTCCGATAACACCACAGAGTCTTTTTAACCCAATGTCCTTGTCTACAATCCGCCACTGACATTAGCCATTGCTCTTGGGTTGTGTGCGGGAGCTTCCTACGCTCACAATGACTGACAATAAACTTGGCAGCAGTTACTGTGAATCTCTTTGAGAAGTTTTTCGTGACAAACAGCTATTAAGAGACGTGTCCACGTGGAAAAGGACGAGGACAGGATTGGCATCAGAGGTCATGTCCTTGCAAGGAGACATGCCTCACACATAAGGGATGAGCAACACACCAAGCAGGCAGGAGAATAATAACCCTATAGTAATCCTTGCATTTGATATAGTGGCTCATCACGCTTAGCAGAATATATTCTAAATTGTGAACTGGATTGACTTTGTATTCTGTGGGCAAAATACCAACTACCAATTGGCATAGCAGCGTCCCACGAACAGCTGTGGTTGAGAAGACAGAAAAGGGGGGCAAATAAAGAAAGCTGGCACACTGCTACAATCAGAGAGTTTCTGACTGTAAATATGACCCTGTGATTTCAGCCTCCGAGAGGAGAAAAACACAAACACTTTGTCCTGTTCTTTAGTCAGCACTTTCCACACACATTTCTCAGCTCCTACACAGCGCTGCCAGGTTATTACACAGCAAATTGACCTTGGAGCCTGCCCCCCCTTCCTCCCCTTTGCTGGTATGAAGCGGTTGCTGTGTCTGTAAGTCTAGCAGAGCGGCACATTCCTGCTCCTTCACTTGTTTACTGTTGCAACTGGACAGGAAGGCAGTCTGAAAGACCCCAAGTCGGTTGCAAAGTGAAGGCAGTTTGTCACGGTGCCTTGCTCAGCAGGCTGGCCTCTCCTGCTAGTGACCCCTGCTCACTCATTCATGGCTACTTGTGGGGCCTTGCAGCATGTAAGCTTGGCTGCTAGCTTTGCCTATGAAAACAGTCACTACACCTGCCAGTTATTACTGTGACATCCTTTTGAGACAGTCCGACACAATGATACACTGTAAAAATGCACGCTCCTACCTCTTCCCGCGCTGGCTGTTTGGAAGACGCAGCTTTTGAACCTCGAGGCAGAATCGGTCCAGAATGTACCTGCTTATTCTTCAAGTGGGGATCCTTTTCTGTTTAGATTATTAATAATAATAATCCTTGCACTTGATATAGTGCCTTAGCTCATTGAGTCTATATTTTGTGGGTGAAATGCGGCAGCCAATTGCACATAGCAGTATCCCACAAACAGGCGTGGATTGAGTGACTGAATTTTTTTTGAGGGATTATTATCCCCAGAAAGCGATCCGCCAATCAACAAACGAGCAGAACTGCTAAGTAAGCAGAGGCATGGTTAGCTATGGTTAACTAGGGTTAGCTGAGCTATGACAGAACCAGAAAGCAATGAACTGCCTCAATTTAGTTACAGTGGTCTTTGAACCTGAACCCCTTTATTTCCCCAGTGCAAACATGTCCTAAGTTAATAGCACAGCAGACGGCAGCATGTACCTTATGGGATGACAATCCACCATTAACAGTTTAGATTTCTTGCTACGTAAACATTCAGATACCAATGGCGAGCTAAAATGTAATGTCTTGTATTCTCGGGTCAATAGCTCACACCTTGTTGCGTTTTCAGAATCCTATTTTTGTTCTTTTCTTTGTTTTGTTTTTCTTTCTGTTTTTATTTTAGGTTTCCTTTTGTTGTTCCAGAAGGCGATTGGGCAGAAAGCGTTCGAAAAAAATAAATACAAATAATAATAATTAAAAGTTTAAAAATTGTTAGAACACATAAACTTTACTGGGGATTTACAAAGAATAGCTCTTCTGATGTATAATCTGAGGGATGATTAAGCACTTCCATTGCCACCAAAACACAAGAGGGTTGAGG